TATAGACGTTATCGTAACGTCAAAGTAACTTGTTGGCCCGGCATCGGTAAACGTTTGAAATAGATGTCTGGTACCACCGTTGGGCCGACGTTTCTTAGAGGCTGTACATATTATGTATGATTATAGACGTTGTCGCAACATCACAGTACTCTGTTGGCCCGACGTTAGTAAACGTTTGAAATTTACAACTTCTAACCAACGCCGGCCCAACTGTTGTCACCAACCTCCGCTAACATTTACCGACGTCGAGCCAACAAAGTACTGTGACGTTGGGACAACGTCTATAATCACATCCTAATATTTACAACCTCTAACCAACGTCGGACCAACGGTTGTAACCAACCTCCATTCCAAACGTTTACCGACGTCGGGCCAACAGCGTTCAGTGACGTTGAGACAAGGCCTGTAATCACATTTAATATTTACAACCTCTGGCCAACGTCGGCCCAACGGTAGTAACCTAATATTGTAGAAGCGGTTGGCGCATCGGTTGTGGCTTGGACTCCCAACCTCGAGGTCAGGGGTTCGAAACTCTCGCTGTGCAAATCGCTTGTGTCCTTGGCAAGGCACTTTATCTACAACGGTTGCCTCTCTCCACCCAGGAGTACAAGTGGGTACCTGGTAGGTTCGAACACAACTGCGCTGATTACTAGCTGCAATATTATGGAATTCTCCCCAGGGAGCTGAGTATGTGTTCCATATGTGTTTGATCCAATGACCGGGGTAGTAATGTGAAGCGTTTAGAGGCATTGTGCATGAAGCGCTATATAAGAGCGACAATTATTATTATATTATTAACCAACGTCTATTTCAAACGTTTACCGACGTCGGGCCAACAAAGTACTATGACGTTGCGACAACGTCTTTAATTACATCTAACATTTACAACCTCTAACCAACGTCGGCCTAACGGTTGTAACCAACCTTCACTAACGTTTACCGACGTCGGGCCCACAAAGTACTCTGATGGGCCAACAACGTCTACAATCACATCTAATATTTATAACCTATATAAATATTAGATGTATATATATATATAGTCCTCAATTAGACCTTCGCGACGCCCGTGAAGGGAGGTATGTCTAGGGAAGGGGAGAATCGGGAAAAAGTCAATAATTCTGTAGAGGAACACTGCTCTGAAAAAGCATTTTTACCGCCTGAGAGTACCATTTCTGAGCGTCTGGATGTGTCTATTCTTAAAATTTGCTCACGGCCTTAGACTCAAATGGTGGGGCTGAGGTGGGCGTGGCATGGACTCCATATTGTGCACCCCCCCCCCCCTCGTCAGAACTCTGGATCCGCCCCCGTTCAAGGGCGGATCCAGAGATGTCCGAGCCGAAAGGGACCAGAGCAGATCCAGAGATGTCCGAAAGGCAGCCGAAAGGGGGGTGTGGTAGGCCTACGAAAGTGGAGCAGATCAAGACAACATTACCCCAGAGGGTCCAGGGTATGCCCCCGCGAAAATTTTGTTTTCACGCCCGAGAATAACTTTCGAGACGTTTGGGCGATCGCTATTTCTTTTTCTTTCTTTCTTTTTTTCCTTTTTTTTTTTTTAACTTTCCAAAATGTCCTTCCTCTAAATCCGCCCCTGACCGTGCCAGTACATTAATCCCATCCTCGTGACTTAGGGCTTGCTGCTTTATCACAAAAAAAACCAAAAAAACAAAATCAGTCTACCACTTTAAAAATAAACGCACATAAAATTACCGTAGACTATTTTAATTGGGTGTGACCCTCACTTGGCCCCTTCGGAGGGCGGGGGGAGCCGGCAGGCCTGGACCCCACTGTCGTCTGACACCACGAGAGGTCGTCTGATCTCTGATCAATTTAAAAAAAATATACTTTGCTTATTAATGTAACGTTATTTCGATTTCCAATCCATATCGTGGTCTAAAAGCACAATTTGGACCATACTATATGCCACTGAGCCACATTCCTTGGTTCGGACCCCGTCGGACATGTCAGACCCTTGTCGCCAAATTTCTGGAGCCACCGCTGGCTGATAATATTGAGGTGCATGTTTTGCTAATTTTGTCTTTGTATATTTATATATTGTTCTAAAAATCTTTTATTTAATGTCTTATATATTTAGGCCTATATATTTTCGTGAATACTAATAATTAAAGCTTTCATTCATTTTTATTAAATCTTTCCCAGTAGTTGTGTATCTAGTATAGGGTGGGGAGAAGTGGCGTAACGGCTATGAGCTCTCATTGGCTAAAACCAGGGGAGCCTCAAGGGGCCCCCAGCAAATTCAATTTATTATTTATCGTCGATAAAAAAAATTAAAATTTATATTTAAAAAAAAAATAAACAAAACAAAACAAAACTTTTAAGAATAACAACCACATGAAACAAGAAATTAAACCATGAGCAAAAGCATTGACACATGAGTATGAAACATAGCCTATGTTTTTGTCCATAAATATTTATTGATTTTAATTGGCTCGTTTTGTTTAGTATTTATTATGTTTATATAGTGATATCTATATATTTTTGGACCAAATACCACGATACATAAACTTAGAATTCGAATGTGTAAAAAAGGAATTAAAATACGTCAACGCTAAAAACGCCGGAGTGGCCAGGGGCTTTTCACCCCATGCCCCCACCGGGTGCAATTAGTGGCCCGGTCCCCGGCGTCTGGGTCCCCCCTATGCTACTAGGGCGGGGTGGGTGGGGGACTCGGAAGCTGCTGTTGGCGTGCGCACTAATGGGGCCGCTGGTGGGCCGCGATACGGGTTTGATTAAGAGCGAATGGGATGAGCGAGCTTTATGGGGTCTCCGCGCACCACTGCCAATACCCCAGTGGAAAGCTGTCGGACGGGGGCTTTGGCCAAAATATATCGGTCATCTTTTTCTACACCTTTTTCTCTTGAATCCCAATTTTCTTTAGAGTAGGAATCCCCGCACACTCCCTCCAACATAACAGGAGGACAGACACCTACTCTGTCGTCCAACGCCACGACAATCTATCCAAATAACGATATATTCATTGCCAATCGATCGCTAATATTGTGGTCAAAAGCACAATTTGGCC